AAGTGACGATACAACAATTGAAGATCCTACCGTTTTTTTAATGTCATAAAAAAAATAAAAAGTGAATAAAAAAAACCTTTTTTTTAATAAATAAATAGTGATTGTTTTTTTGAGAAATTACTTAATTGTTATTTTATCATTTGAAACTCTTAATAAAAAAGAGATTAAATAGATTTTTTAACTGAAAAGTTGAGATTTATTTTTATGTGAAAAGATAATGAATTAATTAAGAATATTGATAAATAAGAATAAAAACTATTAGTTTAAGTCAATTACAAGACTCAACAATTTATTAAATAGCTAATAAGAAAGGAAAATTAAGTCTTATGACTTGAAGTCATTTGTTAGAAAAACAAAAATTACACTCCATATGATATAGTTTATATTCAAAGAAAGTACTTTAATAATAACTAACAATGTTTTCTTCAAGGACTTAAAACAAATATGTTTTAGTTTACAACAAAGAATGCTAAAAAGAAAAAGAAGATATTCTGTCAAATTTAATTACAGTAAAATCCTAATTAGTCAATTTCAATAGCCACATTCAAATCTTTTCCATCCTCATAATTATAAAATTGAATTATTTTGTCATTATTTACTTCTACACACCAATCTTCATCCTTAGCCATTTTCATAATTTCCATGAAGTGAGAGTCAATAACAATTTCATTAAATGAACACCTTTTTCCACAAGGACAAGTTTCATATTGAACGACATGATTAATCATTGTTTCTATGTCATAACACTGAGTATGTTTACAACTTCTTCCTTTGCATGGATAATATAATTTATTTGGGAAGAACAGTTTGATTATTTCATGAGAGTTATAATGAAATGAAGAGTAATTATCAGTTTCTGATTTAATCATATCAGCCAATTCGTCGATACTATTCTCTTTACCACGAAATAAAACAAGTGTGTTATTATGAGAAGTATGAAGACTATGCCTTCCATAATCTAATCGTTTAAAATATTCATTTTGATAACAATTTAAATAACTCATTGAAAATATATAAAAGTCATGTAAAATATAGTCTTTATCATATAATGTTGTTGTTTTTTCTCCTCCATTAGGTAAGACAATAACAAAAGATACGCTGTCATCAACAATACATTCTATTTGCTTTCCAATTTCTACTATTTCAAATATATCAAAAATTGGGTTTAATCGTTGTATTAAATATTGACGTGGAAATGGTTCAATTTTTTGGGTAAAATATTGTTTTACCATTAGTCCAAATTCAAATGGTGTTGAACTTAAAATTGGTAAATTAACATATTTTTGTAATTCAGGAAAAGATGAATGTAATACTTGAACTAGTCCAATTGCCTTTCTTAATTTATTATTATCGAATTTACTGTAGTCTATATTTTTAATATTGTCTCTCGTAATTTCTAATTCTTCTTTGATAGCTTCATAATAAGGTTGTCGTAGTAATTGATATAATTCCATTTTTATTAATTAGTTAGTTCTTTTTCGTATTTAAAAAATACATTTTATTTTCTTAAAAAACAATTCTTTTTATTTTTCTTGTTTCTAATATCCTCTTATTCAAAAAAGAATGATTGAACAAAAGTATTATTTGATATAGATAAAATAATAATTTTTCAATATTTATGTAATTCAACTGTATATCTATAGATTTATTCATTAACATTTTTGCTCTTCTATTCATTTTTATAACCTTTCTTATAAATATTATTATGTTATTTAAAGAATAAATGTTTACTTATTATCTACTTCATTGAGTTATCATCTATCTTGATTATATTTTTATTAACTGTTATTTTTATGAATGTACTTCGTTTGTGTTATTAAATTATACCATCTCATATCTATATCAATAGATTATTTATGATATCCATCACATAAACTCTTGAGTAGTATATATTTTTTTGGATAAAAAATAGAAATATCTTCAATAAGAATCAATTATCACTTTTATATCATTTTTATTATACGTAATCTAGTAATCTTTCTACATGTGATTTTTCCAAATTATTCAAATCATTTATATTGAATACTATTTATAAAAAATATAATAATAAGTACAAAAATTATTAAAAATTATAAAAGATATTTAGAATCTATTTAGAACCTATTTTATAGGTATATTCTAATAATAGTTATAGAATTAAAAAAGAACATGACGAAAACTGCCAACAAACTCAAATAATACAGTAAAAGAATTAATAACAATTTGAGACAAAAATTACTGAAAAATAAAATTAAAGAATAATTATTTAATGAATTAAGCTAAACATAAAAGAAGTTTTGAAAGAGTAATGAATAAATTACTTAGAAAAATAATATAGATATAAAAAATGTATTGATAAAAGTGAAATTAAAAATAAATGGTTAAACTATAAGAAGAAAGTACAAAAGTATTAATAGAAATATTAATATTCAAGAAAAAGTGTTAGTGATTAAACAGAATAATGAATATTTATCATTATAACAACTAAAAAGTTTATTTGATTGATACATTTTATAAATTTTTATTAAAACTACAGAAATAATTGTTAATTATTCAAACCCCATTATCAATTCAAAGTAGAAATGAAAAATTAATTGATATTCTTTTATAAAAAAGAATTTACTTGAATTGAAACATTTTTATAAAAGAATATCAATTAATGCTTTTTAAATAACAATCAAAGTAGAGAAATATATATATATAAACGAATTCATAGTAATAATTACTAATGAACCATATGTTATGAAATAAAAAAAATAATAGAATTACATGTTCAGTACAAGTCATACAAAATTAATCGAAATTCAATTCAGGATAAAAAAGAATAAATATTAACATCATAAAATAATTATGAAAGAAAATAATATTTAAATAGAAAGTATAATTAAAAAACTTAATTAAATGGTAAAAAGAATTTTTACAATAAGACACAAATAAATAAAATGCATTGAAGATTAAAATATTGCCTAATGTCAAGAAATGTATTTTTAAAGTATTAAAAGTTTTTGCTATAATAATTAATTTATTTTATGCAACATATTATATGCCTAGAATGGAAAATAATATCACAACGTTTAAAAGGAATTTTGTTGGATAATAAACATTAGGAGTATCAACTCATAATATTATGTATATAAAAGGTATATACCAAAAAAAATATACTAAACCCTTTCGCACAATCATTTTTTTCTGAATTTTAGGTTAAGGATTGTTTCTATAACTTCTAAGGAAAGGACTGTCTATAAACATTTTTAATTTTTTGGGGTATATTTTTTTTCAAGAAAAGGGGTAATTATTAAAGATGAGCAATTGACATACACACCGGAGTTTATAGATCCATTTAAAGTATGTCTCAAGTCAAAACAATAATGAAGGGGTATATAATCTTTCACTTAGACAATGGTAAATATGTACAAGATATAACATCTGATAGTTCAATCAATATAACTGAGTATGAACAAGAAATATCAGAGAAAAACAAACAAAAATTTGGTTTTTGGTTAGAAGATAAAGAAGGAGTGATTTTCAAATTTACTAAAACTACAGAAAATAATGAAAAAGAGTATTGTTGGTGTTATAAAAGGAAAGGGACTACACGGAGTTCTCTAGTTATATTTAATAATGACAGTGAAACAATTTATGAACATCTGAAAAATTTACCAAGAAAGAAAAATGATATTGAACCATGGCTAAAAAGAGAATTTGGTGAAGTAATCATAAAAGAACAAAAAGAAATTAAACAAGAAGACAATCACACACAAAAAGACACTGATGACAACAGTGAAACTCAAAAAGACAGTCAAATAAATATCCAAGAACAAAAGAAATTAGAAGAGAATGATGAGAATATAAACACAATAAAAAATGATAAAAAAGCATCACTTACAGACAAAATCAATACAGATGATAAACCAACTAAAATTGAAGAAATAATAGAGAAAGACAAATCTGACATAACAACTGAACAACAAATAAACGAAGAAAGTAAAGGAGGAGAAATTAAACAAAATAATCAAGAAAATAAACTAAAAGAAAATGATAATAAACAAAACAGTATAGAAGAATATAAAATAGAAATTGAGAAGTCACAAGAAAGGAACTTACATATTAAAGAAGAAGATGAAACTATTAAAAGTGAAAAGGAAGAAAATCAACAAATTAAAACAAGCACTCCACCACAAACAGAAAAAGAAATTAAGCCTCAACAAAGTTGTCAAGAAGAAATATTAGAAAAAAGAATAGCAAATGAAAATGAAAAGACAAATATCAATAGAGAAGTTGAAAAAACACAAAATGAAGACGAAAGTAAAGAACATGAAAGTAATAATATAGAAAATGATAAAAAAATTTACCTTGAAACACAACCTATTGAAGAAACAACAATTAAGGCAATTTCTAAAAACGAAGATAAGTCAGGTGATATACAAAGAATTGGTCAAGAAGGAAACAATAAATCCAGTGAAGAAGAATTAAACAATGAAGAAGATATTAAAGAAGAAAATGAACGTAATAAAAAAGAAAATAATGATGAAGATAGTCAAAAGAAAAAAGAAGAATTTAAAAAATCTGATGAATTGACAGATACATTGGAAAGCATAAACAAAAACAAAGAAAGTTTTGAGACATTTAATAACGAAGAAAATACAATTGACAACCCAGAAATTCAATCAGAAAATAAACAACAAATTGAAGAAGGAAGTCAAAAAGTTAACCAAAAACAAGAGATTATTAAGAAAGAACATAAAATTCAAGAAATCAAAGATGATAAAGAAAAGGTTGAGAACAGTGAAAGTAACACCCTTCAAGAAGAAGTGTTAAGTAATAGTCCTGAAGAACTTAAAAACAATGGGGATATTGAAAATGATAACAGTCAAAAGGTAGTAGAAAAGAACATTACTGATATAAAAATGGAAAATATTAAAGAGAATGAAATAAAAGTCTCAGAAAATGTCTTAGAAGAAACCGAGTTAAATATCACAAAAAAACCAATACATGAAACAATACACGATGAGAATTCAAACGAAGAGGAAGAAGACAAAATCCAACAATTAAAAAAAACAATACTAGAACAAACCAGTGAAGGAAAAGTCGAAACAATACAAGAAGAAAAGAATGAGATTATTAACGAAAAACCTCAAAGACAACAACAGAAAGAAGAAGATACATTATCAGAAGTAAAAGTAGAACTACTACAAGAAGAAAGTACAACACAAGAAATAAAAACAAAAAAAGAAGAAAATAAACAAAGAATTATTAATGAAGACGAACAAAATGAGGTTGATACAGCAAAAATAAAAAATGAAGATAACAGTTATATAAAAATAGAAAAAAAAACTATGGAAGATGAACATATTGAAGATAATGAAAATAAAACTGAAACATCACAAGATATTGAAGACATAACAAACATCAAGGAATTGAATAAGAGACAACATGAAAATAATACAGAAGGAAATAATAATGGTAATGACGTTGAAACAAAAAATGAAGATAAACCAATACCTGAAGAAAGTGAAATAGAAAAAATTATTACACAAAAACAGATAGAAGAAACACAAATTGAAAAGGAAAGTAACAATGTAGAAAGTAAACAACTGGATGTAGAAAATAATAATACCATACAACTGAAAGAAGAAGAAAAAAATAAAACTGAACTAAAAGATAACAACAAAGAGAAAGAAGAAGACAAGTTCATAAAAGATAATATTGAAAAAACTCAAAGTGATAGTAAAAGAAAAATAGAAAATCATACAGAAGCAGATGAACTTACCAAAGAAACACCAAACCTACTTGATAAAGAAGAGGTTGATAATGAAAATGAAGAAATAACTAAAATACAACAAACAATTAATAAAGAAGAAAATAAAGAAGAAGATAA